CGTCCCCAGCCTACAACCTGGCCAAGGAGCAGCGGCTCAACTTCGGGGACGACATCCCCAGCGCCCTTCGCATCGCCAAGAAGAAGCGCTGGAACAGCATGGAGGAGCGGCGCGTCCACCAGGAGAACGAGCTGCACGCCCACCTCACGCGCCTCATCCTGGCCGAGCGGGAGAGGTGGGCCCCGCCTGCCACCCAGTCTGAGTCAGCAGTGCGAGCGTTTATTGATGGCAAGGCTGGCAAGCGGGGGGTGCAGCCCCCACGAGCCCCGGGCTGGGGGGTGGCCGGCACTGGGCAGCCCGCCTGACCAGCTCCTGGTCGGCCCCAGGGAGCTGGAAGAGTGTCAGCGGAACCACGAGGGCGACGAGGACGACGGCCACGCCCGGGCCCAGCAGGCCTGCATTGAGGCCAAGCACGTGAGGCGCCCGGCCAAGGCCGGGCCTGTGTGTCTGGCCCGGGGCCGGTGTGTGCGGGGGGTGGGGTGGGGGGGCCGGGGCCCCACACAGCCGCTTCCTCGTAGGACAAGTACTTAGCGGGCATGGACGAGCTCTTCTCCCAGGTGGACGAGAGGAGAAAGGTGAGCTGTGTTCGGGGGCGCGCGGGGCAGGGCCCCTCCTGCCCTGACCTGGCCCCCTGCTGCAGAAGCGGGACATCCCCGACTACCTGTGCGGCAAGATCAGCTTCGAGCTGATGCGGGAGCCCTGCATCACTCCCAGTGGCATCACCTACGACCGCAAGGACATCGAGGAGCACCTGCAGGTGGCCAGGGGGCGGGCGGCAGCGGGCGGGCGGCAGCGGGGCCTGCCAGGCAGGTCTGACCCCTCTGTGGCTGCAGCGTGTGGGCCACTTCGACCCTGTGACCCGGAGCCCACTGACCCAGGAGCAGCTCATCCCCAACCTGGCCATGAAGGAGGTCATCGACGCCTTTGTCTCCGAGAACGGCTGGGTGGAGGACTACTGAGGCGGCCGTGGCCCGGGCGCCCGGGCCGCATCCAGCCCTGTACGCAGTCCGCGCCCCACCACCCAGCCTGCTGCTGGGCCGCAAGTCCCCCTACCCGCCTCTGGGGCCAGAGGTCGCAGGAGAGGGTGGGCTGGGCCGAGGCCACCGCTGTCCCTGCAATAAAATCCGTGAGTGCGGCAGGTGCGTCTGCTGGTGTGTGCCAGCCGGAGGCCGACCTGGCTAGCCGAGGAAGGTGGAGATGAAGACGCTGGTGTCCAGGTTGAGCGTGGCGTGCCACCAGCGGTCAGGGAAATAGAGCGCCTGGGGGTGTGGGCTTGGGGTGAGTGGAGCACCCAGGCCAGCCCAGCCCTGGGCTCTCCCGCCCCTACTGACCTCACCAGCCTGGACAGTGCACTCCAGGGGGCGCTCAGATGGGGCCAGGGCTGGGTAAGTGTCCTGGAGCCAGGCCAGCGTGGTCTTGTTGGGGTGGAACTCGGGCTTCTTCTCAGGGGGGTACAGGAACCAGCGCTGCGGGAAGAGGGGCGGGGTCCCGTGTCTGGGCAGGGCGGCCCGTGTCCTGGTGGGGCACCCACGTGTCCACCCTCACCCTGCGCTCACCTTGCGGCCATAGATCACCTCTGAGAAGCCTGGCCCATGCCAGTGAAAGGGCACCCCCGAGCCGGCCCCTGCAGGTGGGTGAAGAGCTGCTGGTGACCAGGGCCGCGCTGTCCCCACCATCCAAGCACCCAGCCCCTCAGGGCGCCCACCTGCAACCCCGAAGCTGTACGCGGCCTTCGTGCCCAGCAGGCCGAAAGGGGGCGGGGAGTAGTGTTGGAACAGTGCTGCCCACTCAGTGAAGTTGTTGTCCCCAAAGAAATACAGGGTGTCTGCAAGCATAGAAAAGGAGAGACCCCGGATCCCCACGCTCCCCAGGGCCCCCAGCCGCCGGCCAAACGCGGCTCACCGTTGCCCAGTGAGGTGGGGTCCTGGGGCTGCAGCAACCGTGCCACGTACTCCTGGAAGGGCAGGTCCACTGCGGGAAAGAGGCAGTCAGGACGGGGCTCCAGCCACGGGCACGCGACCGGGCCGACTGCGGCTCACCTTTGCGGTAGGAGTAGGTGTTGGCCGTGCTCAGGCGGACCACTCTGTCCCCAAAGGCTGCCAGCAGCCTCTCCCGGGAGCACAGGGCCCGGAACCTCTGCGGGGCAGCGGGGGGCGCTCAGACCCAGGGCGCTGGGGCGCGGCGCGGCGCGGCGCGGCGCGACACTCACCGCGTTGTCCGTGAGCCGGGTCAGGACCACGGGCCTGGAGAAGGCGTAGCTGCAAAGAACGGGTGTCACGGCGGCTCGGCGCGCGCAGGGGGGGCGGGGACGGGGCGGGGCCCTACCGCTGCGCGAAC